ACATTTATTAGTTCAAAACAAGCACCATGTCAATCAACTGAATCATGCGCATTTATTTCAGTTACTAAAAGCATGGACACAGTAAATTTTTCTTTTCAGCTTTTACTTGGTAATCACATTGAAGTCCAACACAAATGTATGTAGTTCCACTAGAGTGTCCAATTAACTAAAAAAAAAAAAAAACATTCAACAAGCAAACAGTAGTCAACAAATGCCACAACAAATAACCAGCACCACTTAGTGACTTGGTGCTTGAGAAATGTTTTTTTTTTTTCCTTGGGAATGTCAGAGGGAATGCTTCTAAGGTAAGGTGATCCACAAGATTATTTATAAAACAAATGTGTAAAGTTGACTGATTTATCCAGTAACTTTTTGCACTTTATTAGAACATTCAAGACAAGCAGAACTACACAAGGAACTTTCTAGTAAGCATAATATGGAGCATAACTCCTACCGCAGTAGAGCTCAATAGTTTACGACATCTTTGAGATACCAAAAGCAAGGCACTAAAGGTGGGATATATCAAGTTCTGCTCACAGTACAGGTATCAATTTGTACACAAAGTTTGTAATAAACAACACAGTGCAGCCAACTTGAACACCACCACTTGCAAGAAGCTTAGCTGCTGCACATATTGAGATTTCAATAATTAATGCAGACATCTTGGGGTACAAGAATGATCTGTCCATTTAAATTATGATTTTCAGCAAACACAATAAACTTTCATTTGTTCTATAGTCACTCTTTCACAACATAACTTAGTCAATGACCGTTTTCAGCGTCAAATAAAGACATTCAAACCTCGCCCTTTATTAAATCACCACCAAGGGTCCCGTTCTGATTAATTTTGTCTAGTAATTAGAATTCTAAAATAAATTACACAGTGCTTGAGCTATTTTCAGGGGAAGAGCCAACACCAGCACCTGCAGGAGTTGTGGTAGTGACTGTGGCAGGGGGTTCTGTGTTAGTAGATGTGTTGGCGGTGGTGATGGCACGTTCGGTAATTTTAGGTTCTGGCATTATTAATATTGTTGAGTTTGTATTGGCACTGTTACCTGCATTCGGGTTATTTTCATCATTGGCAGTTACCTGAGAGGGTAATGCAGCTTGCCTCGAGGGATTGTCGACCATACTACTGGCCGTATTGGAAGCACTAGCAGCTGCGTGACGTTGGTGGTGGTGGTGGTGGTGGTGCACATTGGCAGGGCTACTTGTAGCAAGGGGGGCTGGGCTTAAAACTTGTTGAGTTGGTGTTGACCTATTGCTTGTGGCCATAACTCGTGGTGTGTTCAACCCACGGAAGTACGGGTGTTTGAGAGCTTCTATGGCAGAGATACGAACACTTGGCAAAAATTTCAGCATTTTCTGGAAAGGAAATAATTTTGCAAATAATAACTACATATGATTAAATTATAATGGGGCTATTCCATGTATCGGTATGTTCATGGGATAGTTATGCACAAAGTGAAAAGGTGGGTAAATGAGCTTGTAACATTTACCAGGGATGTAGATGTTACACCCCTTGCATCTTCATCCTAAGAACAGGATGAAGACACAGAAAACAACAGAAGGCAGAAGAGTTAGAAGAGACATGATCACTACCTACAAAATTCTCAGAGGAACTAATAGGTTGGACAAAAATAAACTACTTGTATTTGCCATGAGTGGAACACGAACAAGGGGACACAGGGAGAAATTAAGTACTGTACTTATAAATTAAGTCCTGCCTAACTGTTCATAATTCTAGTCTAATGATACCAAAAATCTTACCTTAGGGGGTAAACTTATGTGAGTGTAGAACAAAATTAAAAAAAAAAAAAGTATTAATATTGAGACAACATATTCAGTACCTGAAGGAGGTCTGCCGCATCATCTGTGATTTCTGGAACAACGTCTTTGATATGTCTACCCTGATGGTGACGGAAGTTACTGCGGGACAGTGATACATCTCGTGGCCACTCACTCTCATGTGGAGTCCCAATCACACTGAAATATAAAGTACATTGTCAATATATGAAGTTAATAGTGTTAGCCATACTTCACATACTCCAAATAAACACAAAACCCCTGGGTATTACAAAAAAGTTGCAAGAGAGAGGGTGCAATAGGCACGCTGAAAGAGAACTCGATCAACAGAAAAGGCCCAAAACTTTTAAACACTCTTACCCCACACATATAGGACATAACTGAGCGACCTCTTGCAGTGTTAAAAAGAGAACTTGACAAGCCCCTTCAAAAGATACCTGATCAACCAGGCTGTGACTCATATCAGGATGTGAGCAGCCACATCAAACAGTCTGCTGATTCAGACCAGCAACTAGGAGGCCTGGACAGACACTGGGCTGCGGGGACATTAACACTTTCGCGCTCTCGGCGCTCAAAAAAAACAATACCCCAGATGCTTTCGGCACTTCGCGCGCCTACGCGGTAAGACCGAAAAGTGTACACTCTTTTGACTGTCCTGACAATAATTGAAGGCGCACGTATTTAAATTTGGTATCACTGTGTTCGCAATGAAATTGTCTATAAGAGCATACCTATAAAATGCCGCCCAAGCATAAGGAGTATCAACACCAAATAAAAAACTATGCAGATCACTCGCCGAGAGCGCCAAACAGCAACAAAATGTTTCCACTCTCTTAATGGTTGCGAAGCCTACAGTTGTCCTACATCGCTAATTTTGGTATCATTGGAATCGCAATAAAATTCTCTACACGGACATATGCATATGAATGTTTAATATAGGTAATTGCCCACCCGCAAGAGTGTGTGAAGTGGAGAGTAGTTAGCCGCGAGCACACTGGCGAAAACACGGGGGGAAATCATGCTTGGAAAGTTTATACGTTTCCTGACCCTACTTTTCTATGTACGTATTTCTTTTTTATACCAATGTGTTCGTAATAAAATTTTCTATAAGATGAACTGTATAACATTTGTACAAAGCATGAGTAAGAGAAGCGCCAAATATAGAACCACGTCGCTCAGTATGCGTTCGCGGCAGAAACGAACGCATTGTTTTCGTTCGTTTGATGTTTGTCATGTTTATACTTGTTGAAACATTTTATAATTTGTATGACAGTGATCGCAGTAAAATTCCCTACACAGACATATACATAACACATACAAATATTTCCCACGTGTTGGATATATCAACGGCTAAAGGGAACCCACTGCCACACGCTCGCCACACCCCCAAACATACTTTGTGAATTTTTTTTTTTACTCATAGAAGTTTATGTGATATAAATATTCATTCTGGTACCAAAACATTCGCAAATAAATTCCCTACAAAACAAAAGTATCCCCATCCATTTCGGTTAAAAAATGGAATTTATAGAAATATTTTTTCGATGGACGAGAAAACTCGGCTGTTATGCGGAATCGTAAGAGAAAACGGCGACGAGTTATCTCTAATCTAAAGCGCGAAAGTGTTAACCCCCAGAATCTTCAACAGGTAGGGACACTGACAAATACTGAGGGATACATTTTGTTTATGACCATTTATCAGTGTTATGGATTTTAAATCAATACAATGATTTTCTTAAGATATTGCACAGAAAAAAAATCATTATGGATTTAAATTATGAAATTTCAATAACAGTTATGTATATTTGTCAAACTTAACCATTTTAAGCTTCACATCAACATGAACCAAAACCAATCAGAAAAATTACAAAAAAAGCAATAAACAATAAACCTAAGTGTAGTTACAGGATGAGAGCTACGCTTGTAGTGTCCCGTCTTCCCAGCACTCTGTCGTGTAACATTAGATCAATCAAACAAATAACATTACCAGCACTCTTAAAAAATATTTCATTCACCTGAGCTCTAGAAGACTCGAACCACTTGACCCCATCTGTGTGAGGCCGAAGCTCTATCTACTCAGCTATTTATTTTGAATTAATGGATTGGTTATATGTATGACAGGCTGATATCACAAAGGTGATATTTCAAATCTAACTATTACATTCCAGTTATTACAAAGCCATTATGGCCTCAGGCAGGCCATTACAGCCCCGGCGAGATTGTTATGGCCCCAGTAGGCCATTAGAGGCCTGTTGAACCCATTCCAAACAGCGAGACCATTCTAGATGTGGCTAACCCTTTGAACTCATATAATAACAGTGAGTGTGTCCCTGTGAGTGTTCGGGTGAGTGTGTGTGTCAGTTTATACTTGTGGGTCCACAAGGCCATCTGTGTCCCCTCAGATGGTTTCCCTTATCACAGTTTGTGTCTATGGATGCGTGTCTGTAAAAAAGTTCTAGATATCACTCAGATTGTCATGCATAGATGCTGTATAAATTAACTTCTATTACTTCCAACTTTCATAATCCATTGTCTTCCAACCACTTGGAAGGTTGGGGACTGAATGCCTACATGCATAAAGCGAGACCGTTGCTCTACCGTCTAGCCAAAGTAGTTTGGAATAATGTGTGTGGTGTGTGTGTGTGTGTGGTGTGTGTGTGTGTATGGTGTGTGTGTATGGTGTGTGTGTATGGTGTGTGTGTGTGTGGTGTGTACTCACCTAATTGTACTCACCTAATTGTGCTTGCGGGGGTTGAGCTCTGGCTCTTTGGTCCCGCCTCTCAACCGTCAATCAACAGGTGTACAGATTCCTGAGCCTATTGGGCTCTATCATATCTACACTTGAAACTGTGTATGGAATCAGCCTCCACCACATCACTTCCTAATGCATTCCATTTGTCAACCACTCTGACACTAAAAAAGTTCTTTCTAATATCTCTGTGGCTCATTTGGGCGCTCAGTTTCCACCTGTGTCCCCTTGTGCGTGTGCCCCTTGTGTTAAATAGCCTGTCTTTATGTACCCTATCAATTCCCTTCAGAATCTTGAATGTGGTGATCATGTCCCCCCTAACTCTTCTGTCTTCCAGCGAAGTGAGGTTTAATTCCCGTAGTCTCTCCTCGTAGCTCATACCTCTCAGCTCAGGTACTAGTCTGGTGGCAAATCTTTGAACCTTTTCCAGTTTAGTCTTATCCTTGACTAGATATGGACTCCATGCTGGGGCTGCATACTCCAGGATTGGCCTGACATATGTGGTATACAAAGTTCTGAATGATTCTTTACACAAATTTCTGAATGCCATTCATATGTTGGCCAGCCTGGCATATGCCGCTGATGTTATTCTCTTGATATGTGCTGCAGGAGACAGGTCTGGCGTGATATCAACTCCCAAGTCTTTTTCTTTCTCTGACTCCTGAAGAATTTCCTCTCCCAGATAATACCTTGTATTTGGCCTCCTGCTCCCTGCACCTATCTTCATTATATTACATTTGGTTGGGTTAAACTCTAACAACCACTTGTTCGACCATTCCTGCAGTTTGTCTAGGTCTTCTTGAAGCCTCAAACAGTCCTCTTCTGTCTTAATCCTTCTAATAATTTTGGCATCGTCCGCAAACATTGAGAGAAATGAATCTATACCCTCCGGGAGGAGGGGTGTGTGTGTGTGTGTGTGTGTGTGTGTGTGTATGTGTGTGTGTGTGTGTGTGTGTGTAATTACCTAAGTGTAGTTACAGGATGAGAGCTACGCTCGTGGTGTCCCGTCTTCCCAGCACTCTGTCATATAACGCTTTGAAACTACTGACAGTCTTGGCCTCCACCACCTTCTCCCCTAACTTGTTCTAACCGTCTACCACTCTGTTTGCGAAAGTGAATTTTCTTGACGTCGTCGTCCCTTCAACTTCCAATGTGTGGTCTGGTCAACATACTTCAGCCACGTTATTGTGACTCATCGCCTGCATGTGAATTTTCTTATATTTCTTCGGCATCTGTGTTTAGCTAGTTTATATCTATGACCTCTTGTTCTTAAAGTTCCAGGTCTCAGGAAATCTTCCCTATCGATTTTATCAATTCCTGTTACTATTTTGTATGTAGTGATCATATCACCTCTTTTTCTTCTGTCTTCTAGTTTTGGCATATAGAGGAGTGCCTCTAACCTCTCTTTGTAGCTCTTGCCCTTCAGTTCTGGGAGCCACTTAGTAGCATGTCTTTGCACCTTTTCCAGTTTGTTGATGTGCTTCTTAAGATATGGGCACCACACAGGCTGCTTTGGCCTAACAAAAGTCGTGAACAATTTCTTTAGTATATCGCCATCCATGTATTTAAAAGCAATTCTGAAGTTAGAAAGCGTGGCATAGGCTCCTCGCACAATATTCTTTATGTGGTCCTCAGGTGATAGTTTTCTATCTAGAACCACCCCTAGTTAGGTTTGGTCAACATATTTCAGCCACGTTATTGTGACTCCTCGTCTGCATTGCTTTTATCCTGTATATTATTTATCCATTGCTTTACTCTTAGGTAAAAATTGCAAACGCATGCACACACACACACACACCAGTGCTTGCAGTAGGAAGCTAGCTTCCTAGCTTTTGTCATGTAACACTTTGAAACCACTGACAGTTTTGGTCTCCTCCACCTTCTCACTTAACTTGTACCAACCATCTACCACTGTTTGCAAAAGTGAATTTTCTAATATTTTCTTGCCAACTATGTTTAGTTAGCTATTTAGTTATCTATGGCCTCTTGGTCTTGAAGTTCCAGGTCTCAAGAAGTGTGTGTGTGTGTGTAATTACGTAAGTGTAGTTACAGGATGAGAGCTACAGTCTTATTTGCACTATTGACAGTTTTGGTCTCACTAAACTTATTCCACCTGTCCACGACTCTGTTGGCAAAGGTGAACTTTGTAATGTTCTTTCAGCAGCTTTGTTTAGTTATCTTAAACTTATGACCTCTTGTTCTTGAGGTTCCAGGAATTCTTCTTTGTCAATTTGGTAGATTCCTCTTATTATTATTTTTTAAGTGGTAATCATATCACCTCAATTTTTTCAATCTTCAAGCTTTGGCATATTTAACGTCTCTTGCCTCACCTCGTACCTCTTATTTTTCAATTCCAGGAGCCATTTAGTTGTATGTCTTTGTACCTTTTCCGGTTTGTTGATGAGCTTCTTAAGATATGGGCACCATACAGCCGCTACATATTCCACCTTTGGTGTAACAAAGAGTTGTGAACAATTTCTTTAGTATTTCACCATCCTTGTACTGTATTTATAAGCAATTCTGAAATTATAAAGTGTAGAATAGGCTCCTCGCACAATGCTCTTTATGTGGTATTCTTTATTCTGAATTTGACAACTGAAATGATTTAAAAACATTGACAAATGCAGCTTCTAAATTTAATTCTAGAGTACAGTGTGCAGTTGATGAGTACAAATACTGTACTGTGTTTCATGTTATGATATTATTATGACTTTCTCTTAGTTAAATAACTTCCAATAAATTTATGTAAATTAACCCAACTATTAATGTAAAAAACTAACATTTATGAGTAAAGCTGTGATTGATTGGATCTGCTTGCGATTCATAAAATTGTAAATACAGTAAAAACATTTTATTCTTTTGGCCAATTTGGGATACGAACGTGGGCCTGAAAAATATGACACCTTTACTCCAACAACCAGACCAGAATGCTCAAATTAAGGTTGGGTCTCACAAGAAGAAATATTCTTACTCAAATATCCTCTGGAGTTGGTCTGGTTCCGTATGACCCTCAAACACAGGTTTTCGTCGGAAAAGCTCAGCAAATATACACCCGCAGGACCACACATCAGCAGGTGTCGCATAGCTATTGCTGAGTAAAATTTCTGGAGCTCGATACCATAATGTAACAACCTGTAAAAAAAAAGGTAAATTTTACGTCATATTTTGTAAGTACTGTACAGTACTACTGTAATCCAAATAAACTTCTGTAATTCATTCTCGTCATTCTAAAAAAATGTACACAAAAAATTAACTATGTACTGTATGTTGTTTAAAGGTTCTGTGCTTATAAATGATGGCTCTTCTCTTACTTCGGGAGAATGCTGCTCTCACTGATGTATTTGCTAATATGTCACGATATTCAGACATGGGGGTTTTTAGAGGTTTAACAAGGTTCTGACAGCCTGGTATCTGGTGACTGTTACTGGACCTCAGTTCCCTTGTGTAGCCTAGGGTCGTGTCTCTCACCCAGGGGTCCCTTCTTTGTCCTGACTCCTCCCTGGTAAGTTTCCATGTATTTTTCCTTCTTTGTGGGGATAGTTAGCTTCAGGGAGCCACAAAGGGCTCCACCCAGAAAACCAGCATTAAATGTAATGAAATGCCAATTTCTGGGTGATCCTTGGTTGCTCCTTGGTCCCCCAACCCTCCCAGCTTGTCAGGTAGGTTTTGTTCCTGCATCTGCTCCAGAACTGACAGCTCAGACCCCAGAATGTGGTGAGCCCCTTCCACCCCCCCCCCCTCCCAAATGAGTGGGAATGGTGGGGCAAACAAGCTCATGCTAGTTGGGTTAAGTTCATTAGGTGGGTTTCGAGGCTTCAGTCACTTCTGAACCCAGCAGTGGTTTGTTTTGACTCACTGACTTTCTGCATGCCTTCCCTGGAGAAGTGGCAAAATGTCACCCCTCCCTGCGCCTCTGTGAGGGGGGGCCAGGTGTCACCCCTCCCTGCGCTTCTGTGAGGAGGCCAGGTGTCACCGCTCCCTGCGCCTCTGTGAGGGGGCCAGGTGTCACCGCTCCCTGTGCCTCTGTGAGGGGACCAGGTGTTACCGCTCCCTGCGACTTTGTGAGGAGGCCAGGTGTCACCGCTCCTGCTCCTCTGTGAGGGGGGGGGGGCTAGGTGTCACCTCTCCTGCTCCTCTGTGAGGGGGGACCCAGGTGTCACTGCTCCCTGTGCCTTTGTGAGGAGGCCAGGTGTCACCGCTCCTGCTCCTCTGTGAGGAGGGGCCCAGGTGTCACCGCTCCCTGCGAGTTTGTGAGGCGGCCAGGTGTCACCACTCCTGCTCCTCTGTGAGGGGGGGGCCAGGTGTCAGCACTCCCTGCGCCTTTGTGAGGAGGCCAGATGTCACCGCTCCTGCTCCTCTGTGAGGGGGGGGGGCCAGGTGTCACCGCTCCCTGCGCCTCTGTGAGGGGAGGCCCAGGTGTCACTGCTCTCTGCGCCTCTGTGAAGGTTTTGGCGCTATTATCCGGTGAGCCAATGCAACCTGGTAGATGGGAACCATCTTTGTGTATAGCTTCAGGGAGCCACCGAGGCTCACCCAGAAATTGGCATTTCATTATATTCAATATTATAGCTTTCCCTACCCTTGTGTTAAAAACTTGTATAATTTTCTTGACAACATCTTACACTATATCTGCACTTATCACAGGAGGAGGATAACTAGGTCAACAATGTTGTCGATTGAAATGTGTTAGTTAAGATTGTTGCACATATTTTGTTTGTTTTAAATAAGTTTTTTCTGTAGCAAACCAACATGTAGATCATGTTGAATTCGTTTCTTGAAAGCAAATATGAGTAAATAAAAGTAAAATTAAATACTGTAAATCTTTTAATAAAAGATTATTGAAGTTTTCAAGTACAATACAGTACTGCTATTTCCCTTGAAAGCGTTCCCACTGCTCACCCCTTCTCTATGATATTGATATCTCATTTTTTGTAACTTTTAAATTTGTCATGCACAGTACTAGAAAGCATGCATCATGTCACTGCTGGATAAATACTCGCTGAAAGGAGTTTGTAAAACTCCACGTTGAACACAAATGGATTGGGGCATTGAGGATTGCGACCTATGGGGCTCAAACTCAATATCCAGGCCAAGCAAGGTTCATATCATGATACCCTTACCATATTCTCCCTTAAATACATATAATTAAAAGTTGTTAATAATTAGAGTACTGTACTGCAATTAAGTAACTAAGATCATTATTATCTTGTGCAGGTATTTATGATTGAAGTGATTCCTCCTTACCACTGCTGTGAGCCTCATATTAAAATCATATATTCTCGCCAGGCCAAAGTCTGCAATTTTAATGCGGCCATTTGTATCAACCAGAATATTTTGCGGTTTCAGGTCTCGGTGAATAATGCGGTTGCTGTGGAGGAAGTCGACGCCACACAGGATCTGGTGGATCAGGCTCTGTGGAAGAATTTACCATAGTTAATAAGTTGATAAAATTGCCAAATAACAACAAATATATAGTACTGTACTAAATACTATTAACAACCTAGTATGAAGTACTTTATAGCACCAGGTGTACTTTAATATTAATTAAAATAATTAAATACCAAAATATCAAAACTAAAATATTAACGAAAGGCAGTTGAGGGAGCACTTCCAGCATTCTTATCTTCATGCACAGCGGTCAACGAATTAGTAGGGCAGATCCTACCAGAGCATATGAGAAACTCATGATCAACAGTTCATCGAAGCAGCCAGTCAATGGAAAACCATTGCACACCCTCTACCCCGACCACAAGACCCAAAAGACCACAAGCAGGTCCAATGGGTCCCATAATGAAAAAGACTGCCACAACAATGCTTGAAAACGCAGACACTGAAAAAAAAGTCCGCCTTCTAGAGGTAACAGCATCCCATGCCGGGGATTTTTTATTTGCTGTGGCTAATGCAGCCCTAGAAATTCGCTTCAATCATGACGCGCTCCGCATTGGAATTGCCCTTCTCCTTGTCACCCCCATCCTCACCGAACATAGGTGCATCTGCGGAATTGCGATGGCAGACCAATATGGTCGTCATAGTTTGGTATATCGTAAATCACAGGGTAAGATTGCAAGACATGAAGAAGTCAACGACACCATCAAGAGGAACCTCACCACAGTCTGCTGCCTAGCACAAAGAGAACCACACTTATTCAGACCCAATGAACCTCTGAAGTGCTCAGACGGGGTCACCTTGCTGCCTTGGAAGGATGGTAAACAAGTGGTGTGGGACTACACGTGTGCTGCCACACTGGCCAGTACCCACTTCCACTACACCACACACAAAGGGGGTGGCACTGCTTTTTTCAAGGAAATGCAGAAAGCGACCAAATACACAGGTCTAGCACACTGCTACAGTTTTGTTCTGATTGGTTCGGAGACCCTCGGTTAGTGGGGAAAATGTGCAATGAAATTCCTGAAGGAATTAGGCGACAAATTGATCGGTGTCACAAAAGACCAGAAAGCGAAAAGCTTCTTGTTCCAGTGCTTCAGTGCTGCCATTCAGAGGGGAAATGCCTGTTGCATCTTGGGCAAGAGTCCAACTTCAGAGGAATTCGAAGAAGTGTTTGACTTGCAACAATGCTCGAATCTGTCCATGACATTTATTCATGTTTCCCATTGTGTATGTTTCATGTTTCTTGTAATTGTTGTGTTGTGTATGTGATACCTGCTTGATGGAGTTCTGGGAGTTCTTCTATTCCCTAAGTCCGGCCCGAGGCCAGGCTTGACTTGTGAGAGTTTGGTCCACCAGGCTGTTGTTTGGAGCGGCCCGCAGGCCCACATACCCACCACAGCCCGGTTGGTCCGGCACTATTTCTAGAAAACAGTCTAGTTTTCTCTTGAAGATGTCCACGGTTGTTCCGGTAGTATTTCTGATAGCCGCTGGTAGGACATTGAACAACCGCGGGTTGTTCAACGTCAGAGCATACCTCTGATGTGTATATAGTGTTCTCTGATTGTGCCTATGGCACCTTTGCTCTTCACTGGTTTTATTCTGCATTTTCTTCCATATCGTTCACTCCAGTACGTTGTTATTTTACTGTGTAGGCCGTTCTTCCTCATCGCCCTTACATCATTACACACAGAGATCACACTAACATGATGCATCAAATGAAGTAAGTTCAGTAGAACTTCGGTTTCAACTCTTTTCACCCTGTCGTAGTTCAGTCGATTAAGGCAATGTCTGGGATGCTCCCGGACGCAGGTTCGAATCCTCGTCATGGCCCTTGTGGATTTGTTCATTTGATGCATCACGTTAGTGTGATCTCTCTGTGTGTAATGATGTAAGGGCGAATAGGGAGAACGGCCTATTGACATAGCTCGGGTGCAGGGGGGAGTTGTGTAAAATCCTGGTTTGTGCCTCGAAGAGGCTACAGGATCCAGTAAGTTCAGTAGAACTTTGGTTTCAACTCTTTTAACTCTGTCGTAGCTCAGTCGATTAAAGCAGTGTCTGGGATGCCAGTCGGGGAGGTTATACACAGTATATATAATATGTGTGTAAATCACGAAAATTAACACGTGATGAAAAATGTGACAGTGTCAGACCATGGAGAAAGAATTGAAACAAGAATTTCCTTAAGTACTTCCGTATATTAATACATCTTCAGAAGGAAAGTATATATATAATATGTATATATATATATATTTATATATTTATTTTGCGATTAATCCATTCAGTTTTTAATTCTAGCCTCCCTCACAATTGTTATTTTATTTTAGATATAAAATCCTGTGTGAGAATTTTTCTACTTCGTCTCAACAGCTGCTACAGGTACAGGTTGTTACAGGTACCGATAATACTCCAATTACTGACCTTAATCCTTGACTGGTCGAGGCCGGGGGAGGGGCAGGCCTTGAGGTAGTGGTAAAGGTCCTGGTTGACGTACTCGAACACCAGGACGAGGTTGAGGCGCTGCTCCTGCTCCACTCTTCCCTGGCAGATGTCCAACAACCTGCAACACACCAACGCTGTTATTTCCTATTGTGGCAACCTCTGGCGTTAGCGCTTTAGTTGGAAATAATACCTAGCTCAACAGCGGAACCTAGTACTAACAAAGTTTACCACTACCTGGATTGTACCTGGATGGAGTTTTGGGAGTTGTTCTCCTCCCCAAGCCCGCCCTTGTGAGAGTTTGGTCCACCAGGCTGTTGCTTGGAGCGGCCCGCAGGCCCGCATTGCCACCACAGTCCAGTTGGTCCGGCACTTCTTGAAGAAAACTCTCCTGAAGATGGCCACACTTGGTGCTCGCAAGCACACGCCCTACACCACTACACCACGATATGATAAAAACCAATGCAATCTGGGATTTAGCTGAATCCTCTAGAGGTCCGACGAAGGCTTCCACTGAAGCCCACTCAGGGCTGCAAGCATTGACCCCCCCCCCTCCCCCCATACAGTAGTTGTTCACCTCCAACGGTTCTCTTCAAATGCACAATGAAATCACAGTAACGTGACGTATCATTATGAAAATCAGTAGGAATACTCCTACTGATTATGTATCATTGTACCTACGTGATATATTCATTGTACCTATGTGATGTATCATTGTACCTACGTGATGTATCATTGTACCTACATGATGTATCATTGTACCTACGTGATGTTTCATTGTACCTACGTGATGTATCAATGTATCTACGTGATGTATCATTGTACCTACATGATTTATCATTGTATCTGTGTGACGTATCACTGATACGTCAAGTTAATGTGAGTTCACAGTGCATTACTCTCGCCAGCGCCTGGTGTCCGCCGCCGATGAAGCCAATAATAAATGACGAACGCTGCCCCATACACGTTAAGGCAGTGAGCAGTACTGGAGGACAGCTCCCGCCTCCGCGCGTGTCCTCACGGAGCATAAGTAAGTACAGTCCAAGCAACAGTTGTGGAGGGGGAGTGGTGGGTGGCGCTGCGTAAGGCGAGTCGCTGCGGCTACTTCTATTATTCAAGCTAATCCTCTCTGTCGGGACCTTTTATTTGCCTTGATAAAGGATGATGACGGGCCATACGGGCAGTAATGGATCATGAACTACACCGTCATGAATAATTAGGAACAATGAGACGAGTACAAAGCCTATTTCCCGTGAGTTGAGTTGAGGGACGCGTGCATCGAGCAGAGGCCGCGATGCACTAGGGGTACCCCAGCCACTCTCCCCATAATAAGAGCATGAGGCACTCTACCTTTACAACTCCCACGCATGCCCAACCCCAGGGTAAATGGCAGCGAGTGGGCAGACAGAGAGGGAGTGGGGAAGATGGGGAGGGGGAAGATAGGGTGGGGCAAGGCACGAGCAGCGTAGCACGGGGGGACCCAGCACACCTCGCCACCATCACCTCTCATCACACAATGGGATTATCTTATTCCCACACTTACCCTGCCAACCCGACCCCCGTCCCTCTGTACTCGCCCTCCACACGTTGCCCCGTCGCCGCCTCCCTCGGTATCATATCCCCATTTTATCCAATTTCTGCGCCATTTGCCGTGCATCACTACTACGGCAACTCTCCGCCACACACAAATGCAGGCCGTAGTAATGGTGACGGCGCTGTCCTCCCCACCACATCCCTGGGGGCGCAAGACATACACACGCTCACGCTCCTAAGGGCGAGAAGCCTCGTCCTTCCCTATCGTGAGAGCCCGTACTGGCCTGGGTGTGTGTCACGCGTCCGCGGTCCATCTAGGCTATGTAGATCAGTAGCAGATCTGTGGAGAACACTCTCGGGAAACTCGGCCCTCTGCCAGGCCCCCACAAGGGCCATGATCCGCAGCGGCCGCTCATATGATCTGGTGCAGGGAGGATGTTATGCTTAAGGGGGGACAAAGGCTATCTGGAGACACCATTATTATTTCATTCAGAGTCTAGAGAGCCGCGATGGATGGGCACCAGGGGAGAGAACAGGCTGGGGATTAGTACAATGGGAGGGGCAGTTGGGAAGAGGGCGGGGGGAGGGGAATAAGGAGGGGGGTGTAGTAAAGAGGGAGTAAGGGGGGACACCTTGTATACACCTCACGCAACATCTGAGGTCAGTTGACCTCAGATGTTGCGAGAGGTGTATACAAGGGGTCAACGATGAAACATTGTTTACACGGAGAAGCAGTCATGAGTCAGCTGTTGGGGTGTTTCATTCGCTAAGCCATTTACCGCCAGCCAGAGGCTTAGGGCCCGCGCAGGACCCTACAATAAAACTTGTCCCTGAACCCATTATGTGCCTCTGTAACCCTTTCCACCACCGCCCTCGGGATGGGTATTGGGTGCATAATAAATAACTGAAATTAAATGGATTTGCATGGATTGGATAATGGATAAAATGGATTGACTGGACAACCAATCCTTTTATTTAGATAGAACTTATAGTAACTATACGGACAATCGTACATACGTATATATATTGACGTAATGGACAATTTGGTATTATTGAATTTGCACAAACTGGAAAAGGTTTTGTATTTATACTAATAAAACTAACCTAACCTAGCTAAAGCATCCTAGGCCTAATATAGTACATATATATGTGCTATACTAGGCTTAGGAATATTTAACTATGGTTTTTAGCTTTATTTTTTCCAGACTCTTAAAAGTGAATAGTACCAAATTCAACTATATAACTGTCCATTAGGTCAATATATATAGGACGGTCACTAAGCCATAAAGGCTACTATACAGTATGGTGGAGCTGGGCTACAGCGGGTGATTATCTTAAATATACCGAGCACCAGAACTCGTCACACCTTGTCTTACCTGAAGAGAGTCTCAGAAATTCTCCCCGAGCCCGACCTGAGGCCAGGCAGCGGCAAGCAACAACAGCCTGTTGGACCAAGTTATCACAAGTCGAGCCTGGCCTCAGGCCGGGCTCGAGGAGAAGAACTCCCTTTTCAGGTATGCTCCAGGCAGAGAGGGGAATCCCATCCCATATCCCAGACCATTCCCCTTGCAAATTTGAGTGAGGCTAGGAAATTGACTTGGAAAATTACAAACAGATTTTGACTGCTTCGGTAATTGGCCTTATGATTTTGGAATGTGGCCCCCTCCATGTCCTGGTGATCGATCCCCCACTTCCGTGAGTGATCGACTTCCGGGGCTGTTAATCGAGCCTCAGGTCATGTGAGTGACCCTTCGTCTTGGTGATTGACTCCCTATCTTGGTGAACACGTCCTGAACAGTGGTGTTCACTATGGACACAACGACGCCTGGTGATCGAGCCGAACACACAAGGACCAACCTGGGCCAAATACCCAAGCCGAGGCTTGCTTAAACGCGAACACCAAACAGTGAATATAAATTGAATAATTTTAGTTTCAGGAAAGACCTGGGTAAATAATGGTTTTTAAAAAGGGCCGTTGATTTGTGGAACAAGTTACCGGTTGGTAAATTACCGGTAAACAAATTAAACAAATATACAAAACAAATTACCGGGTAATATAATAGACCTGGGGTAATTCGATTGTTTCACGCGAAGGTTAGACATATATATATATGAGTGAATTTGGGTGGATATAAATAGAAGCTGCCATATATGGGTCAATAGGCTGTCGGCAGTGCCCTTTACTATGTTATAAACGACCATATACATATAAAACCCCAAGTCTAGGCCTATTTTTTCCTCAATTTTGCCTCGAAAAGTGAATTTATTAGGCCTATGAGTGAATATACAGCCATTGCAGCATGAGCCACGTCTCTAGTAGACAAAAGCTTGTTTGGGTCTTCAGGTGACCTGTTAAGAGGGTCTAATGACCAGCCCCAGGCCTAGTACTGGAGCCTAGGCCTAGTGATCAGTCTCCAGTGGTGGTGATTGTCATCTCTGGCCGTTTAACGACTGCTCGTTTTAAGTTATGGAATGTTCTGGTAGATGACATCACCAGTGAGATGTGCCATTGCTGACTCACTCGATTCCTGCGTGTGGCTCTTCCCTCCCTCCCTCTCTCCCTCAGCCTTCTCCTTCCCTCCCTCCCTCTCTGCCCTCTCCCTCACTCCCTTCCTCCCTCTGCCCTCTCCCTCACTCCCTCTGCCTTCTCCTTCCCTCCCTCCCTCCCTCTGCCTTCTCCCTCCCTCCCTCCCTCTCTGCCCTCTCCCTCACTCCCTCCCTCCCTCTGCCCTCTCCCTCACTCCCTCTGCCCTCTCCTTCCCTCCCTCTGCCCTCTCCTTCCCTCCCTCCCTCTGCCCTCTCCTTCCCTCCCTCCCTCCGCCCTCTCACTCACTCCCTCTGCCCTCTCCTTCCCTCCTTCTCTCCCTCCCTCCCTCCCTCCTTCTGCCCTCTCCCTCCCTCCCTCCAGCCATCACTGTCCATCCGTCACCAGGAGGACTGGTTATTATTCTCATGTGCTTGAGTGCTCTCTTCCCCTCCCCCCTCCTCGTCCCCCCTCCTCGTCCTCCCCAGTCGAGCCGAGCGGACAGCACGCTGGACTTATGATCCTGTGGTACCGGGTTCGATCCCGGGCGCCGGCGAGAAACAATGGGCAGAGTTTCTTTCACCCTATGCCCCTGTTACCTAGCAGTAAAATAGGTACCTGGGTGTTAGTCAGCTGTCACGGGCTGCTTCCTGGGGGTGGAGGCCTGGTCAGGGTTCGATTTGTGTGTACTCACTTAGTTGTGCTTGCGGGGGTTGAGCTCTGGCTCTTTGGTCCCGCCTCTCAACTGTCAATCAACTGGTGTACAGATTCCTGAGCCTACTGGGCTCTATCATATCTACATTTGAAACTGTGTATGGAGTCAGCCTCCACCACATCACTGCCTAATGCATTCCATTTGTTAACTACTCTGACACTGAAAAAGTTCTTTCTAACGTCCCTGTGGCTCATTTGGGTACTCAGTTTCCACCTGTGTCCCCTTGTTCGCGTACCACCCGTGTTAAACAGTTTATCCTTATCTACCCTGTCAATTCCTCTGAGAATTTTGTAGGTAGTGATCATGTCTCCCTTTACTCTTCTGTCTTCCAGTGTCGTGAGGTGCATTT